GAGAGAGAGAGAGAGAGAGAGAGAGAGAGAGAGAGAGAGAACATTTTTTTCAGTCTATCCTTGGTTCATCAGTCTGTGCTTTATACCATTCTATAGACAGAACCGGAGATCTTTCATCTCACGTTGTCGTACCCTCGCGGGAGGCGGTCCCTCGAAGATATGGGCTCACTTTGCTGTGCATCAAGAACAGCAGCGGGTCCAGTCTCGAGCTGTTGTTATTGTTGTTGTTGTTGGTTGTGTTCATATTTCAAACCATTCCGGTCCCTGCTCAACATCTTCAAAAATCCGTACCGGTCCAGCTGACGTGGACGCCTTCCGTGGCCATAGACCAACTGCGCTAGGTTTATACCATACACGCTTGTAGGAACGAAAAAACGGAAACATGAACGACCCAGAGATCCTTGACCGTGTCAGAACAACACACCGGGAGAGAACACGTCCGGGAACACGGAGTAAAAAGAGGAATTCCCCCCATCCAAACAAAATATAGCAGAGAGCCCATTGCCTCCGTGTTCAGCATCACCCGAAAAACACTCCTTGGAGGGGCAAGATTTCAACCATGCCCCGAGTGTTGAAAGGCGCCACAGACCATTGGTGGGAACCAAAGGGGGATGTTTGTTTCACCAACGTAAACGTTTCACCCCGATTGTGCGCCTACCCCCGGCGAAAAATCACGTGACTGAGAGGTAGGTTGCATGGAAGCTTCGAGATAGGTATTCTTGAGCTTGGGCCAGCCTGCCGGTTGGTTTGTTTCGGGCATTTTGGGGTGTTGTGTTCCTCTGCGTGAATGTAGGTCAAAGCTTTGCGTGAATCTTCTCCCAATTCTTGGCCTGAGTGCTTGGAGTCCCAGGTTGTAGATATCTGTCCGTGTTGCATTGTTTTCCTCACATTCTGTGAATGCGGCATCGTTGTACTCTAGTGCATCCTCCAGTGTAGAGCCTAGCACAGTAGACGGGTAGATCAACCCTTGGCGTGTGAATCCAGCTTCAGTTTTTTTACCCGAACACTTGGAATCCCTTGTCACATCGTTGGTTGTGTGTTTTTTATCGGTGTGTTGTATTCCTCTTCCCGTGAAGCCGCGTCATCTTCCTTTGCTTTCCAGACAGGTCCTCTGGGTAGCGTGGGTATTGCTTTGCTGGTCGTGGCCACGATTGGATCCAGTTCCAAGCATAATCGTCTATAGTCTGCTTAGCAGTACGGGCCCGCAGTTGAAAGAAATGTTGATAAGAAAAAAGGCTCACATTGTCACGAAAAATACGAAAAGCGGGATAAGAAACACACCCTTGCGGTGGACCCTTACACCATTCTCTACTTCTTACTCAATTAAAACCTGTGCTCGGCAGTGGCAACGAAGTATGAAACTTTGCCTCGACCCGATTTGTATTTATCTCCGGGCCCGTGCGGTAGAGCACTGCTGTACATGTTGTATTGCTACGCGGGGGGAGCGCGGTCGTGGTGTTTGTATTTCTCAGGTGAAACTCCTAACAAATACGTGCGTGATCGGAGCGACACGAAACGTGCTACGAAAAAAGATTAAGTTGGCTTCGGCAGCAGCACGTTTTCCCTGAAGAACTGCCAGTTGGACTTCAACTCAGGAGAGCCGGCCGCACAGAAAAATTATCGTCCGCAACACGCGAACGGTTACTCGTTCTCTGCTCTTGCTGCAGTTGTTGCTTTCTCCACATTCACAATCGTTCTGATCAGGTTCTTGAAGGACGATAAACGATTTTCCGCGGTAACTCAGCCTATGTAGACTGAATTCCCAGAGCGAGTCTCCACCGATCGCCGGACAACAAAAATTATCTTACCCCCGCCCTTGCATGTTTCATCCTACACCGTTTTCGCTCCACTCCAGCTTTACACAAGGTGAACCCGAGAAATGTTCCGCCACATTTACGTAACATGTAATCTTTAGAGGAGAGGTGATGGGGCAAACAAGACCTAACAAACGATGAACGGAGCGCAGAGCGCCGCCGAGCGCAGACCCGGGGGTATTCCGCCGCAGATATTGACCCGCTGCAAAGCTCGTTGTTAGAAAACTTGATCGACTTCGTAAGTCGCGAGGGAAGGGATTGCTGTACCCTCCTCGCGATAAAAATGTCTCAGGCAGGAACCGCAGGAGGGGGTCCAACCCCCCCCTCCTATGTGACCCCGGTTGGGTCGTCTAGCTGGTAGAAGTGGAGGATAGGGGCCAGAGGGGCAAACGACAGAGAAAAAATATATTGCGGGCCGGGGCAACCCGAAGCGCAACAAAGTACGCGGTGCAACCGGGGGAACCTCCCTTTGAATTGAATGTTGGAGAGGCAGCCGACGCAGATTCTCCTTGCACACTGCACCGAGCAGGCCCCTCTGCTGCTCTTGATTGTGCGATATGTACGCGACCAGCCTCCCACCACGCCCCAACCCTCACGCTCGAACCGCAGAGAACTACGCACCGAGGTTCTCTCCCGACGAGCTTCCCCTGCTGCCTGTCAACTGGGTCCCCTCTTGGCGGTCTCCTCCGTCCAAAATATGGGAAGACCCTGCTGGCGTAAAGCGTGGCGAAAACGGGGCAACGACCGCTGCTACCTGTTACGTGTCGGAATCTGCTGCCGCTGCCCGGCCTCGGACAACGGGGTGGGAAATGGCGAATCTTAGTGTTGTGTTGCGGTTTGGTCTGGCGCTGAGGAGGACGGGGGGGTGGGGGGTTTCGAGCTGCTGCCGATGTTTAGCCATAATAGTGCCGAGAAGCCTGTACACAGCATTATCACGCATACGTCCAATGTTTGCCCCCACTCGCCACCATGTTTTCACTCCGTGATTCACGCCTCGTTGCTTCTCGTGGCGCCATGCGTATAGCTCGATAGGATTTGTGAGGGACTCGTCTGCGAGAGAGATGTGGGGCACTCTTCGCGACAATTGCACCGGACGACTCCACGCCGTGCAGGTGGGTTGTCTGTTATCATAGCCTGTTCGAGATGGACGAGGGCTTCTGGAAACGTGTAAGAGGGTTAATGGCGGTAGAAGAACTGTAAAAGCAGTCGTCGTCTCTTGTCGTTGGCACCATAGACGCCAGTGAATCCTTCGAGTGGTTGGGTGTGTTGGAGCACGTATCATAGACTTAAGTTGAGATACGGAACAAATCAATTGCTGCTCTGAACTCTTCCACAGGTCAGGGAGAACCTACGACACCTGGCCCCCGCTTTACGTGCCCGTGGCGCCTCCAGATAGTACGAATTCTGCTTGGGTTGTGCCAACCCTACTGTTGGGTATGGTTTTATTGAACTACATTTTTCTACGGTAGTACATAGACTATGTTGCGATCGAGACCTCTTCCATCGCCGACCCACCTGGGCCACAATACTGTCGTTATTGACTGCTGCACTTGAGGATATTGGCCCGCAGTCGTTCGTATTTTTTTTCTGAAGGGTTTCAACCTTAGTGGTTTTATGGGAGGGTAGACTCAATCTGCCAGCTAAAAAACACGTTTTTCGTGGGTATTGTTGCCAACTCTGAGCCTGCTTCTTCCATTAGTGAAGACCTTGTTTGCAGTGCGCTTGCGATCGCCAAACATTTGCTCCAGACTCTTTGAAGAATAAGGAAAAAGGGGTGTATTACGTACTGCTTAGGACGATGTTCCAGTGAAGACATCGACAACCAGAACAACGTCGATCTCCCCCGAAATCCGAGTGTTGAGTCAGCAACATATTGGAGTAGTGTGAGACTCACTACGTTAGGAGTCGGGGCAATCTTTGCGCCAGGGTTGATTTTGCGGCCCACAGAGTGAATCCAGCAATATTTCAAGAATTTATCGAGGTTCGAAGCATCGTGATGTGCATAGCCCTGTTGGAAACACACGTGGCGTCGAACCTGAACAGACGTCGATACTGATTTGTTCGTGGAGTCCATTGCTGCTGCAGCATAGTGCCGGATGGAACATTCTCTACACTTTGCTGCAGGTGTAGAGCAATGGCAATGTGACATTCACTATGTGCACTTCTACAGGTGTAAAGAGCAATACCGCACAAGCTTGGACGCGAATTTTGGCATATATGTCCCTGACTCGAAACGTGTGGCGGGCATACCATGGCGTGTTACTTGCTCACAGGAAGGCAACCCTTTCTTTCTTGGGCATGGTGTGGGCAAAAAAAGGTTGCAAAGGGTGGTGTAGTGAATGTATTGTGGCGCGCGAGGTTCAAGTACAGTGTTCCGGCACAAACCTTCGGCCCAGGTAACGCCCCCAATCGGGTTGTTCATCAGCGGGAAACATGAAAATTGGCAGCTGCAGATTGAGCGTGACGCCTTCACCCGACGCGCGGGTTCTGTTCTTGGTGTCGAGTTGTGTTTGAACGGCCTCTATCCACAGGTATCCTAATTTGGGGTCTAACTGCGATACGTCCTAAACAACGGAACCACCGACCGCAACAATAAGCGCAACAGTCCCTTCTTCGTCGGGCAAGAGATCGCCGTCTAGGGTCGAACCTCAACTTATGTTGCAAACGCTACCTCAAATCCGGACTCCAAAATATAAACCACGAAAATAGTAACAACTTAACGCTCCCCCTGCATCTGCTCTCTCGAACAATACGTCAGACCCACAACATCTCCGACAGGAGCATTGACTCGGGGCTCATCCCACCGCATCTCCTAGACGGTAGCGTACCCCCTCCCCAGGGGAAGAGGGCTACAAGCCTGGACTACTTCCCGCCGTGCGTGCGACCTGCCACCGTTCCCGCTATCCGCATGGGGCACCAATACAGGTGAATCTCCCGCCCAGCAATGGGGATTTCGTTTCCCTAGGTTCGGCCTCGCTCTCCCGCGAAGCACGTTGTGGCGGCTCGGTGTTGGACTTGGTTTCAGGCTTTCACCGATCATGACTTTGCATGACAGCACGAACAGCTACTTGGAAACCCCTTCCGCTTCGATTTTGGGGTGAATCAAAGCGATTGCTATCTTCAACGTTGGTGACTTAATTATTATTGGATTGAACGTCATGCTGCCGACGGCGGGAGCAGGCTGATCCGGGATACTCCCGCGAAGCGGCTGGAAGCTTACAAGAGAGGAGCCGTGCTTCGAGATGGGCCCGTCCGCATCGTCAGGTATGTACGTGCGTGCGTTTCGCGTGCGTGTTTGGTGGCCTCACATACACCGGCCGTGCCAACCGCGGCACAGATTATCACTGGCCACACGCCATCTGTGGGCAACAGCCACGGCCGGTCCCGGTCGGGAATGATCAGCAATCGGAGAGCGGTTCTATCCCGTATTGTGAGCAGAGGAAAACACTCTTGACCATATCTGCATAGGAAGAAAACTTTTTACGCACAACGTCTTGGGGGATGCAACCGTGTTTGCACGTGGTTCGCTGCCATTTCCCGGCATCTTGACCTACCCAACAGTCCACGCTCAACCCTGCCTGCTCTCCTAAAGTTTCCTCGAGTTCGGGTGGGAGCTTGGTAAGAGACAGCAATCACGTCTTGACCCTGTGCCTCGCCGCCGTTCTCGATCAATTGCAATCGGTATGTCTAGCGGAAGTCATGCCTCCGAGAAAGTCACGCATGACCACATGACCAACCGACAGATTCAAAAGCAGGACACTCGGTGATACGGAAGCCTGCTGAACCGGCGATGAGTTATTTTTCCGCGCGAATTTATCCCGTCGAAGCCTTCGCCGTAGTCTACTGCGGAGGAAGTCTCGCCGTCGGAAAGCGTTAAGAACGTGTGTCATATCCGCTAGATCGCGCCCTGTGCAAGGTCGTACGTAGATGCGCCGTCTTCTATGCCACACGAAATTTTGCGGTTCTCCAGAGATGGCCGATGCCGTTCATTGAATGACTGCTATGGGCGATACCGTTGCATCAAAAAACCTTCCCGACACCTGTGCTGTACGAGCGATGTTCTACTTGTCGTTTGTTGTCTTCACATTAAAAACCGGTCACCGCTCGAGACCTTCTAATATCCGATCACATAAATGTCTTCACGTTAAGAACCGTTCGGATGTCCGCTCAGTACCTTCTAATGTCCGTACTGGTCCAACTGACGCGGGTCACGCATGATATGTTTGGATGTGTGTTTCATGCCACAAGTCTCCGTCCTAGTATCTTGAGATGGCCTCGTTCAACATGTGCTAACGAAGGAAAGGCTTCGAAGCAGAACGAACGCCGTTTCGGCACGCTGTTTACACCTGAAACGCGTTCATTTCTTTTCTTGCGCTTTAGTCTATTCGGTTTGGCGCTGCTACTGCTGCCTACTGCCTTGAGTTCTGGGACACGAAGACCTGCCGCGGAAGGAACCCCTTGTGCCCCGAAACCTGTTAGCGGGATGTCGCTACGCGTCAAAACAGCGGCACCGCAGGAGGTCAAGCCTTGCACTATCACCTCCGAAGGGGTTGACGTCTCCAAACTATCACCTCAGAAAGGGTTGGCGTCTCCAAATTTTTTCCTGGAGGTGGAGAACGCGTCTGCTCAAACCGTGCCTGCGCGCTCCTGCATCTAGACGAGCCCGGTGCCACCAAGTTTGCCCGCGAACAGAGACCCACGTGTGGCGAACGCTACACTATTCAACTTTGGCTCAAGCCAGGAACACGTGAGGCGTGCCTGCGGGAACCAATTCGCCCGCCGCCACGTTGCGGGGTCACTCGATCGAATGATGTGCTCGGCCCGAAGCGCCCCTCCTATTGTTGCTCCCCGCCCCCACCCGTGTTTGCCATCGGGGTTGGGTTTTCGTCGCTTGGCAACGACGTTGTATAACAAGCCGCCCCCCCCGGTGTTTGCGATCGGGATTGGGTTTTCGTCGCTTGGCAACGACGTTGTAAAACAAGCCGCTTCACTTCCTGAACTCGGCAACCAGGTTACCCTTTTTTTTTTACCCTCTTTTTTTTGCGGTAACCATAATGGTGGTCGAGTAGATCATGTTGTGCGGGGTGGAGAACCCTCACTCCGCGCAAGGGGGATGATCGCACCACGTTGTGTTAAAATGGTCAAGCACCCTCGAGGCAGTTACACAGTGCTTACAACTGTCTCTGGAAGTGAAAGCACGAGAAAGTAAATTAAGTCATACGCAGCTGTCATCCGTACGCAAGGAAGTAAGCACAAGATGCCGAAAACCCTTAGCAGGATGCAGCGCACCCTTCATGCGACTCGCCGAATACTATCTCACGGCGCTTCGCGCTTGATGTGAGAGCCTGGTCCGGTGGGAACCCGACGTGCTCCGTCCCGGCTTTGTAGGGATGCGAGGTCAATGGTCTAACGACTACGGCATGCACGACAATGAGTACCCCCCGCCCCCCCCCCGGGGGGGCTGTTGATCTTTTGACCACCAACATGTACGCCGTTGAGTGTTTCAGATCCACCCTCACCTCATAATACCCCCACGCGTTTCCTCCCCGCCTTTCCTCTTGGTTGGGAAACACGTGCACGCCAGGCACACCTCAAAGGACCGGACGTTCATGAAGAAGAGCGCGCACAGGAATCCTCGGGGCATCTCCCGCAATGTCTTGGGCGGCTTCTGCACGTCCTAGGCATTAGCAGGAGCTCCATCGCTTGGGGAATGTGCAATGATTTGTTTTTTGTTCGTGATGTCTTGTTGTAAATCTTCCAGGGGGTTCGGCGAGGGAGGGATGTTGCATGCGATACACAGACCTCCGCACAGTCACACAAGGGATCCCGTCGCCCCTCTCCCCATCTTGCGTTGTTCCCCCGACCTAGAAAGTTGCGTCGATGCTGCTAATTGTAGCTCGAAATCGTGCTCCCGAACAATGTCGCGTGCTGTTGTCTCTTGTCCTTGTTGCGCGACACGGGCAGCTTTCTTCCCTTTCAAGGGTGATAACACCTTGTCTCTTCCTGTTTGTGCGTAAAACTTAGGCGAGGGCGACTTTCGCTTCGCTTTTGGTGTCGACGCGTGGGTACATGTGTGTTTGCGGAGGAGATAACCCTCCCGTTTGGTTTTCGTGCGGCGTGGAGCGTGTAAGCGAGTCCCGTGTGTGTTTTTTTTTTCTTCACCAAATGTTCGAGAACGTGTTGGTTTTGCTGCCGTGCGTAGACCAAATATTGTTTGTGCGGTTTGGCAAGGAGTCCTGATTTCTTTGCCAAAAACATGATAGTGCTGGGATGGTCGTTTTCAATGACGTGGGAAAGCGAGAGGAAACTGCAACACACCCCGACATAAGAGTATTGGCTCAGATATATAATTGAACTTGAATACATTGTATCAATCACAAACTGGCTGTGTTTTCCACCACAACAATAGAGGAGTTAACACAGGTGGTTTGTCATTTCTTGCTCTCCTCGAGCTTCCCCAGTTTGGCGATTCTAAGACGACGTACATAAACATATAGTCGAGAAGACAAAGGTGAGCTTGTAAAATTGTACATCACGGACCTGTAAAGCCTCGCGCGGTTTTCGACTCAGACCCCGCTGGGCTCTGCGATGGTAAGTCGGATCCATACGCCACAATCGCACCATGGGTTCTGTCGCATTCTTGTTTCGCGAAATATCCAAAGTTTCCTCATTTTCGGTTCTACTGGATCCAGCGTAATCTGGTGAACTTGTACCGGTTCTCTGCTGGAAGGGAAGGTAGCATGCGATAACCATTGATACTGAGGTGTTGGTTGTGATCGCTGCGGGCGCAACTACAGCAGGTAACATGACAATATCTTCGCACCGTCAGCGTCTGGTGTTTCAGAAACCGCCAAGAAACAGGCAATGATGCGAGATTTCTGGAGTCAAGTAGCCTTGTCCAAGGTGGTTCCTGTGCGCAGATAAGCTGTACACGCTGCTTCAAATGCCTCATGGCATGGAAACTTCTTTGTCGGGGCGGGGCTAGGCAGGGACGGACGTAGTGCAGGACTTTTTGTATCCACCAAGAGTGAATTCCGATCCACTTTTCGGCTCTTCCCGACAGTCAACTATCGTTCTGGAGGCGGCAAGCCAAGCAGCGACTCGTGACACCGGGAACTGTCGACGGACTTCCTACGCAAAGGTCTCAAGGCCGTTGGGAAAAGACGATGCTCGCCTGGTTTACCGTGGACAAATAACCTGGGCGAAGCGATCTGACAACACATGGACACATCCATGTTGAGTTGGGGCTGCCAAGCCTCGGATCTTTCCCTGTTGGAAGAGAACAGTGATCAGCTGCCGTAGGCGGCTGCGATAAGCATCCTTCCATTGGATTGATATTTCTCGATGGCGTAGTCGTAGAACCATGCCGGGATAGATCCGCTGGCGATCAAAGAGACCGATCCATAGATCAATGGAAAACGACCAAGCCGGATGCCCGACCAATCAAGCGGCCACCACTCCTCCCTTCGGCAGGCTTCGATGGCAGGGTGTACACGACAAACAAGTCTGACGATAATCTCGACAAAGTTGACCCCTAGCTTTCAGCAGCGGTTGTTCATGGATGGTCAAAATCATCGGCCGAATAGACTGGTTGCAATGGCACCATTGCTACTCGTGCATCCCGTGGCGAAACCTTCGTCTGCTCATTGGTCTACAGTACATGGTTGTCGCCCCTGAAAGAAAAAAGTGACGGTACCAGAGCATTAACTAGCGGCTGCAGCAGAGCACGAACTTCATGATACGTGATCGATGATGAAGCCCCCAGGAATATCGGCATTGGCAAAAGTCTTCAATCACCAGAGGAGACACCAACACTTGCACCGTCAGCTAAACCATCACCACCACACAACACCAACGGACATGACGACAACGACGACGGCGGACTAGAATAACCACTTGCATACACACGCCGCCTCGTCGTGTACATGGAGGCCCCCGCAAACCATTGACAGAGCGAAACCTGGGCGACGAAAACGCCCAGCACCAGAGAATTCGATACTAACACCCCCGCGTTGCCCCCCGGCCTTCCCCTCGAACAAGTTTTGCCGGAATCGCAGAATCACGACAACGTGTTTGCTCGTCTTCGTAAAGACAACTTCTCTGAGGATGGGGCATGCTCGTACCTTCCGCGGCCGTTGGTGAGTCAGAGTGATTAGGGAAGAGCTTCGGGCGGCATCACGTCCACGCCCTGTAGGACGAGGAGATGCAGACACCGGATCTTGACGAACGAAATGACGTGCCGTGAAGTCAGTCCGACCAGGTGTCCGACTCGCCTCTCACGGAGCCCGCAGGATTCGCGTATTTGCATTTCTTTATGTTCCGTTACGTTCTCAAGAAGCTCCTGGCGGAAGCCTAGACCGCGGACCATTGTCCAGGGACAGGCACAAACAACGGAGCCAGAGGGGGGGGGGGGGGGGGGGGGGGG